CCAGCAGATGACATGGCCCCAAACCATCAGTGACTGTGGAAACTTGAAACTGGACCTCAAGCAACATGGATTCTGTGCCTCTCCTCTCTTCCTCAAGACTCTAGGACCTTGATTTCCAAAGGAAATGCAAAATTTACTTTCATCAGAGGACATAACTTTGGACCACTCAGCAGCAGTCCCAGGCGAGACGCTTCTGATGCTGTGTCTTGTTCAAGATTTGACACAAGGAATGTGACAGATGAAACCCATGTCTTGCATATGTCTGTATGTGGTGGTTCTTGAAGCACTGACTCCAGCTGTAGTCCACTCTTTGTGTATCTCCTCCACATTTTGGAATGGGTTTTGTTTCACAATCCTCTCCAGGGTGCAGTTATCTCTATTGCTTGTACTGGTCCAGAGGACCAGATTTAACTTTTTTAGATTTTTCTACCTGGATTATTGAGCATGCATCAGGATATTTTGAACCACTTTGGCCAGGATTGCCTCAAACTAGTTAGCGAGTTTGAGAAAACAGCAAGGAAGAGGGCAGACTACAGGAACCATTTGCGATTCAACCTCAGATGTCGACAAAGTGGCATCATTCCCAAGAGCCTGGAATTAAAATGTTTGGTCAGCGGGCACCGGGCATGCAAGATCCTTCAGAAGGCACAAACCCAGCTGCTGAATGAACGGGTGAGACAGACCAATTTTACTATTGAGGCCTTGAAGGCCAAGGAAGAGTGCATTAAACAAAAACTAACAACATGCCTAGATCAGACCACACTTCAGCAATTGATGGACTGTACAGATCAGGCACGCTTAGCACAGCATGTCAAGTCCAAGACTCGACAACAAAAACAAGCTTAACTTACTAATAGCTCATCAACACCATCACTATTCCAATAACAACACATTCAGTGTAGGACTACACTCTAGTAGTCAATTACATGCCAGGGAGACAGAAAAGTGGGTGACGAATTTATCTGACAGACAGCTCACCCAGCCGGAGACAGAGATTCTTGCCAGGGGACTGAACTTTGCGGTTGCACCAAGTAGAATTCCTCTGGTGGAGATGATCACAGCTACTGAGTCAGCCATCCGCAACAACAAAATTAAAGAGGCTGAAGCAGAACAGCTCAGAATCAAAGTTTCAGCCTGCCTCAGCAATGCCAAACCACCACCTTCCAACATCAGTAGAGAGGAGAGGGATGCACTCACCACTCTTAGCAAGGACAAAAACATCATCATTCTCCCAGCAGACAAAGGAAGGTGCACAGTGATTTTGAACCAGAAAGACTATCATGAGAAAGTTATGACACTCCTTAGTGACTTAAACACTTATGAATCTCTGAAAAGAGATCCAGGAAGTGGTTACAAGAAGAAATTGATAGATTGCCTGAAAATTTTGGAGCAGGACAAGGCTATTGACCGTTTTCTGTACCACAGACTGTACCCAGGGGAGGCCACACCTAGTATGTATGGTTTACCTAAAATCCACAAACAAGGTGTACCTTTAAGACCAATTGTTAGCATGATTAACTCTGTCACTTACAATGTTTCCAAATATCTGGCGTCTGTACTCATCCCTTTAGTTGGCAGCTCAGAACACCACATACAGAACACCATGGACTTTAATGATAAGGTGAGGGATGTCATCATGGATACTGATGAAACAATGGTCTCTTTTGATGTCACATCACTCTTTACGTGCATTCCTGTTGATGATGCAGTAGAGGTGGTCAGTTTAAGATTAAAATCAGACACCACTCTGAGCAGAAGGACCACACTTTCTACAGAACAACTGTGTCAACTCTTGAAACTGTGCCTGCAGTCAACCTACTTCACATATGGGGAGCAATATTATAGGCAGAAACATGGGTGTGCTATGGGGTCTCCAGTTTCTCCTATTGTTGCCAACCTGTACATGGAGGAGGTAGAAAAGAGAGCCTTGA